GCTAAAACTAGAACAAAAAGATTGAGCGAGGTGTTGTGAGCCCACCTCCAATTCCAGACTGGGTGCGTCATTTTTTCTGAGACAACAACATAGCTATTTTATCAAATGGCCAAGTCTAAATTTCACTTTTAAGCCAGGTGAATTCAAACTACTGAACAATCTAAAGTAGTAATCTCTTTTACAGATTTCATCTGCAGTAGAAAGACTGATACTTGGATGTAAAATGGTTAATTTGGAGTCATAGAGATACTGATATATACAAATCCATTTGGAAAAATGTATGAATCGCATATACTTTGTAACACAAATGTTCACATTGGATGATATGCATCATCTAGACTGCAGACTTTATTACATCGCTAGTGCAATACAAGTATTTATACTAACTTGGAAGAATGAAAATTGAAGTGAAACGGAAAAAACCTTCAAAGGAGGTAAATAGGTTATCATCAAAAATTTGTTTTCCCTTTCTGAACTTTTCGTTATGGATCTAAATCTGACGGTGTTTCAAGCACCACTTTCTCGTAGAACTGCAGCGAAACCATCGCCCCCGGAAATGTGCCTCCTCATTGATTTTGCATAAACCATAGCAACTCGCGAGAAGTGTGAGAGAAAAAGCATGTGAACAGTAAGATTAGTGCAAATGACCCGTATATCTGCTACCTCGGTGGACTGGACAACAGGAGGGCGACTACCATATATGACTGGAGCACGTCAAAGGGGAATCGGGTTTCCTTTGGTCCGGCTTAAATTGGACATAAATGACCACGAATAATTCAGTGAAAATAAACCACATTAATTTTCGCCTGTTTTGTGATTTTTGACTAGCATATCGTCTACAACAGATACGCTCATATATTTTGTTCGTTGATTGTGAAATATTTCTTAAAAATAATGTTTCAGAAATTCCTCGTTCTAAACCAACGCATTCAGGAAACAGTAGGCACACTGAAAAAGGACTATAACAGTGTGCTCACTTTTCGAGTAAGAACTTTTATTTATTTTTCGCCTTTGGCAATACTAATGCATTTTACTTCATTTGTTCATTGAATATTGAAATGTGCAGTCAATTTAAGGAGAGACGACTGAACCACGAGAAGCAGTTCCAGGAAAATATATCAACGGAAACGACAAGTGGTGACGCACGGAGTCAAAGGGAATGATGCCTTGGGATGAAAAACTACATATGACCCCACATAGGATGAGGGTAATAGCGAGTCCCACGAAAGTTCCATTTTCGGTTTCAACATCCATTAACCGTGCATTTTCATGCACCGGTTTTGGTTGCCCATTCGGATAAGAGAGCAGAATGAAGATCACAGTGTACCTTAATACAATGTATTTAGCCGGTTGAACTAACAAGGAAAACGAGTTTATTTGCTAACCTGTGTTCTAATGCAATGCAAGTGCCTTTGTTGAGGATGATAGCGTTTCTGAAATACACTGAATTGATGTTCATTTGTTCACCGAGCTTGGCAATTGTATTGCAAACGTTTCATCACCAATCGAGGTGACATTCTCAATGCAGTTAATGCGTTGCGAACCGTGGGTCGAATACTGTGCTTATCTCTACTGAATATCCCTTGAAGTATCCGATACAAAGCTATCATCCGTTGTAGAATTATGGATAGTTGTGAGTTTTTCTTACCGCCACACATCCCACTCATGAAACTATAAGGATCGCACAGATCTAACCACGCTGTGAAAAGATGCGACGCAGATGATAAATGATGCAACAAGGATGACAAAATATGCGACGAAGCTGAATAACAATGGGAGAAGCTGTAGGCTGTTGCCGTTGGCATTGTGGATAGGACGCGATAGTCAGTCCGAGAGTTACGGAGAAAAAAATGCAAGTCTGTTAGCTAGTGAAATTCGGACATTCACGTCTAAACATGGCGACCAATTTATCAACCGATTCGCTTTCTTACTCGGCGGATTAAGGCTAATTACCACTGATTTATTAATTCTCTTCCAAGTTTCAGTTCTTTTCAGTTTGCACAACCATTAACCATGCACTATCGTGCGCCGGTGTTGGTTGCTATTTTTCAGCTACCCATTTGGATGAACATTAGGAGAAAAACAGGAAAGTTTGAAAGTAGGATCGAAGAGACGATTGAAAAGTTCAGTGGATTAATGATACAGAGAAATTGAGGTGCACGAACGCCACTGTTTACGACACCCAGCCATATCACTCAGTGTCCCTAATCATCGATTACGATCATCCCGAGGCCCCCAGCCAGCGAGCCTAACGGGACCTATGTGACCCAGTGTACTGGTTAGGGTATCCATACCCTCATACCAGGTCTTAGCTTGACCACCCTAGGCATTTTTCCACTTGGTGTCTGCATAAGCGAACATCACTCGCCGTGGTAACCTACCTGGTGACATGCGTAACACATGTCCCAGCCAACGTAATTTATGGAGTTCGACCACTTGTTCCAGTGGGCGACCGTATTTACCCAAA